CGAGGGGCTGTCACGCACCGCCCGCCGCCGCCTTTCGGGACTCTCCGCCCCGCCGTCAATTGTCAGTGCTCCCCAACCGCAATCAATCAGTTATTTGTCAGCCCCTGTCAATCCGCCCTTGATTTATGTCAGCTTTTGTTGCTGATTACAAGCCTGGTGTGACTTGAAGGGAGAAGGAGAGAGAGGGAGGAAGGAAAACAGAGGGAGAGACGGGCTCCTCGGGAGAAAAAGCCATTTAATTTACAGAATAAATCCTTCGAGTAAACTGGATTTGTGTGCCAGCACCCGGTGGCCCTCCCCAGCTCCGCACTGCCCTGCCGGGTCGGGCTGCTGGGCTCTTCTTCCTCTTCCCTTTTCGTCTTCTTCGAAAAAGAGTCTTTCGTCCCTGTACCCGTCGGGCTGAACCGGTCGCTGACACCGGGGCCCTGGGAATGCGGCCCTTCGCCTTAGTGAGAGCATTGGTTCGCCATTTATGTGTTTGATTTCAGCCAGGCTGTGTTGAGAACCCTGTGGGTATGCACACCGTATCCACTCGGGCGTTACACGTCTTGCTTTGTGTCTGTGCGGTCCCGAAGGGTACAGGGTCCTCTGCCCCCAACACCGGTTTTACCGTGCCGGTGGATGCCCCGAGTGGAGTCCGCAGTCCTTCAAGTCGCTGGATTGCCTTTTTCTTTTCTCTTTGTACGTTGCATCCCACTATCCCCCCACCTCCTCATCCCATAACATTTTTTCACGGGCAAAATGTGTTAATCAATCTTTTACTTTTGTTTCCGGATCTGACATGGTGGCCCACACAATCTACAACATTAACAAAAAGGTCACTTAGAGATAAAACACGTTTGACAAGTGAAGAACAAGGCAAGTGCTTTAGGGGTCGCGTCCAATTCCTGACCTGGACTCCAACCAGAACAGGCGCTGATCCTGGAAGGGTTGAACGAGAGGAAGGACTTTCACTTTCTCTGCTGAACCAAGTCCTTTTTCTTCCATTGAAACACCGATCTGCCCCAGTCCCTAAACAGATGTGTCAGATAGCCTTTAAGGATCTGCTCTTCTTACGAGGTAAATGTAAGGAAGGTTTTCCTAGGTATCCCCCCCTTCCCCCACCCCCATAAAGCGATACCCTTTAAATCTTGCAGCGCAGTAAGTATATCTGCTGTATTTTATTTAAAACACTTTACTCTTTTACTGTAGTGTATAGAGTAGGATAAATATGCAGAACTCCTCTAGCTTCTATAAAGATGAGATTAATTTTAACAAACTTTTTAATTTCTATATTTTCTCTGAAAGCGTAGGGTTTATAGCCACAACTTCTCAGTAGAGAGTCATAAACGTACTTTCATTTTGCAATCACCGCGGTCATCTTGCAAGACCGTCAAAATTAAAAGGCGGGGGGGGGGGTGTAGAGAAAGAAACCTCGCATAAAAACCCACGATATTGC